CCTGCTCTTGTGGAGCTAGGTATATAGGTCGTTCGATGCGTACTTTATCCAAAAGAATTCAAGAACATTGTCCGGCATGGCTAAGAAGAGGAGGCAGCGGCTCAATAAGAAGTTCTATAATCGAACACCTTGTGAACACAGGTCACTCAATCAAGACAGACTCTGCGTTCAAAGTCATCTACAAGGTAAGTAGAAGCCTTCCTAAGACAATTAGACTGCATCTTCTTTGCATTGCCGAGGCAATAGCCATACATTTTGAAAAACCAGGATTATGTGTACAAAAGAGACTGGTACAACCTCTTCTTTTACCATGGTCTTAATGTATTAAAATTTTTTCTCTTTCTCATTACTCTTGTTCTTTTACAGCCACCTGCTTCACCTTCCATCTTCCCTTCAAATCTTGTACCCCCAACCGGTTTGTTTTTATTTCCACGATCATTCCGATTACATTTCATCTCAGTTTCAACATTTTATGTTATTTTATCATGCTGAGCGACCCTTACCCGATGAATATCTAAGCCATTAACTATCAAACTTTCCTTGTTTTAAAAAATTTTTTTTTCTAATACCTTTGTTTAGTTAACCTCACTGTCACCATGTATAACATAAGTTTATTATCAGTATTATTATCACCTTGTAAAAATAAGTATATATATTTGCGATTGTACAGCTTTGAAAATGAATTCGCCGAAAAGAGAACTCTTCACTGAACTAATCTTTCTTTCTTATTTAATGGAATAATACTAAATTTGTTGAAATTCCATTGGGTGGTACTGTAATTCTACCATGCTGTCAGAGGATAACAGAAGAGCTACAACGAATCCACAAATCACAGATCACTAGAGCTTCCTATGACAGTTAACACAGTCCAAAATATGTTAGTTAAAATAAAATATAAAACCCCTTTCAGCTCGACATAAAATTGTGTCTGCAAATTGTGGTATTTAGATTGTGTTGGAAAGTCCTGTGAAATTTAAGCCCATACTAAAATAATATAGATCTCTTAATAATCCTGAAGAAGTGGTTTACACTAAGTTGTCATGAAACTTTCTAGATCCAATTTTTTACTCTTTGTGATCTTAAAAGTGTATCGTTAATCCTACTATTATACCTTTCTGTTTCCTTTTTACACCTAATCTTTTGTACTGATACTATTACTACTACTACTCTGAGAATTTGTATCGATAATTTTATCTCGCTGTGCTAATGTGATGTGGTAATTTGAGCCGGCGCACTTATCTGTCAGGGTCTACGTTGTGTATAGATGACCAACTGATGAAAGTCGAGGCCTAAAGAGCGACATAAGTCGCGAATGTTGAGGTATCCTGTAAGGATAACCAGTACTCATTTTCATGTTCCATTGGATAAGAGCTTAGTCATAAATTCAATAATATGTAGTATTTATTCACTATACTAAATGCAATAAGTTTATCGACATTCATTTATGTATGGTAATGGCCTTTTGACAGTGAAACCCTAAATCAATTCAGCTGTTTTTAGAACACTAAGCAATAATTCCAAAATTTATACATGTGAACATGTGGCCCGAATAATGATAGTCGTAGTTGTTGAGATACAGTTTCCTACCTAGATAAACTCTTATTCCACGTCTCGAGTAGGAATTACTGAAAGATTTTATGGTCGTTTGATAAAAGTCTGTATGAATCAGCAGCATTTTTTTGGTTAGATCTGATCGTCAGTTTTTTTCTACCAGCTACCTTATGAAGACGTCTTATCTTCAGATTAAAACCAGTTATGTGTGTAAGCATGAAATTTTGCTTAGTTTGTGAGTCCTTACGTAAACGTATTAACCCAATGACTTGACAACAGTATTTTGTTTTGTTGGAACTGTTATATCCTAGTAAAGATTAAATCAGGGGTAACTTCTAAGAACTATTAATATTATATATATAATGAGACTGTAAATAAATTTGAGGAAAATATTTCAGAAGAATCAAACCCTAATGACCTCAAATCAGATGTCTTTCATCCTCACCATCTAGTCACTCCTATTGGATTCACCATTCAATGCTAAAAATATATTTTAAATAAAGTCACATTAATTGTAACTTGGTGATATGAGGATCCAACCGTATTTCGTGGGAGAGACAAGTTTGGAGAATTTAAAGTTACAGATATTTTTTTAAGATTAGGATCTAAACTTCTAATCTTCAAAAAAGGGAGAAGTGAAAATTAAATTTATGGGTAACTTCTGAGAACTATTAATGGAATTATATATTCTGTATATCTATACTCCTCTTATTACAAGCTTTATTTGGATCTATAGACCATTATGATACGATTTACTATCCTTAAATCATACTCAGTTTATTGATTACCGTCTTCCACGTTCACAGCCACTTTTTAGCTTGATCTTGCACAAATGTTATTTTCTGTTTTGTGGTTTGATGTGGTCTGCTTGTCTGGTATATAAGCCAAATATGTTTGAAATAAATAATTCGCATAGTGGAAGCTGTTATCGGCGTTCTGGACTCAACTGGAAGAGCTAAGAGAACAAAGGACCAATAAGGACGCTAGGCTGTTCATATCAGTCGAACGTCACTGGTCTAGCACACTACTAAGATTGTATAATTCGCATTTCGATTGACGAATAAATCACGTGATAAATAGCCGGACTTAAATATACAACACGCCTACTTCAATTTTCCATTCAGGATGTTCGGGTAGTTCTAGTAGTATATCTGTAGGGCAAATTAAGTCCTACAAAGTTTTGACCAGTATCTCACCAGAAATTCTTACGTTAAGTGCTGTCAAATGTTTACGGAGAAGAATTGAAAGACCGTTCGGATTCTTGAATTGTCTCCCCTATTATACAGGAACTTATATTGATGACCAACTAAAGAAAACGGCTACCGAATAGATCCCTTGTTAGAGCTGGAACTAGCTAAAGTACGTTTAGCTCGGATAGAAGGAGAAATTGGGGTGGATAGATTACGTCAAAGGGGAAGGCAACATTGCAATCAGGCTATAGCTGATGAGGTGATGTCGTATTAGTCTGTATCTGTTTCATGTTGAGTTAATGTTCCTCCTGGAAAGGACTGGATAACAATGATATCTGAAGCTTTAGGCCTACCAAAGAGAGAGATCATAAGACTTGATATTAATCCCATGAACTACCGGAGTTTCATACGGAATTTCGAAGACTGCTTCGATGAAAGCGTTGGATTCCGATCTAGTTTAAACTATTTGATTCAGTATTGTGATGGTGAAGCTAAGACTACTATTGTTCATTATGAATCGCTCGAACCAGAAGAAGGATGTCGTAAAGCGTTAGAGCTTCTCGAGGAATCATTCAGTCAGCAGCACATAGTAGCTCATGCATTTATTGATAACAAGCTAAACATCCCTGCTATTAAGGGGACTGGTCCAGATAATTTAAGACGGCTGTCTCGTGAGATACATATTTGTGAGCTAACACTTACGTAGATGAACTATGTATCCGATCTGAATTCTACAGAGTCTATCGAATGTATGTTTTTAAAACTCCCACTATGTTTACAAATAGAATGGGTGGAAGTGGCATATAAAATTCTTACGACGGGTAGAGAGCCTTTATTTAAGGACCTTTGTGAATTTGTGAAAAAGCAGTCGGATATTGCTAATACCAGATACGGATTACTTGTTAATATATATCCTTCTAATCGCAACCAAAATGCAGCCTGCTATTGGTACTGAAAAAAACCTCGACTCAGAGTATATAGCGAGAGTATCGTTCGCCAGCCCGAGTAAATCTGATGTCCCTCCACACGTAAGACGGGACACTCTATAGTTGTCATGTTTATTATGTACTGAAAACCACCCTTTAGACCAATGTGGAAAGTTTAGAGATAAGGATATTAATGAAAGTATAGAATTTGTACTAAAAAAGTTGTGTAATGTCTGTCTGAAGACGGACCACGTAACAAGAAACTATCGAGTACCGAGGTCATGTACCGTCGAAAGATGTGGCTGGAAACACCATACCTTGCTACACAGGAAGAACAAGGAGACGGCAATAGTAATGTCCACATCAATACACAACTCTGTACTGAGGAAGGTGCTAAGCGTGCACAGAGACAAGTGGCCGAAAAAAAGTGTTGACGCTAAGCCGAAAACTGAAGCACCATTTGCTAATAGACCTAAATTAACTCAAAGAAAGCCTAAGGAAAAGAAGGTCTCCAAGCCGAAAAAGCCAAAGGTCATTGTAACAAAGAAGTTAATAACTAAGATCCTGGAAAAGCAGGCAGCACATATTCTCTGTGGTGTTGAGAAAGGCGCCTCTGTACGTGTTGTGAATAAGAGTAAGGATGCATCTGGTAGCTTTAAAGGAGCTAATGCTAGTCTGAGACAGATTATGTGTGGTTGGGACCAGGATAAGATAGCAAATGCCATTTTGAAAAGAGGTTGTGAATGGCGCTTTAACCTTCCCTGAGCTAGTCGTCGGGGCAGTGCACGGGGACGCATCATAAAGTCAATAAGAAGAATTGTACGATCACTACTGTTTCAAAAGGTATTGACGGACGAGTCTTTAGAAGCGTTTTTAATAGAGTCTGAAGGATTACTAAAGAATCGGCCACTCATAAAGCTAGTTAATGACTGATAATCTTGTCTGTATGTTTGCGCGTTCCACCAATCTAATTGTTTTTACGTTTAAAAATATAAAGTTTACAGTCAAGTTGTCTTTGTTCTGACAATAGCTTTCACATAGACTCTGAGATCACCATTATCGCGTTTACAGTTCTACTAGTATGTCTGTAGGACAAATTAAATCCTACAGCTCATACCGGTCGAACGTCGTTGGTTCAGCACAGTACTACGATTGTATCGGTTGCATTTCGATTAGCTGATAAATCATGTGAGAATTAGCCGGGCTTAAAGTCACAACAGGAACTCAGTGGTTTGTTTTACGGTGTCCACATATGATAGTGTCATATAGTCAACGAATATCACGAAAATTATTCTACCGATTTTATGACCAAACTTTTTACCTTTTTTGTTAGAATCAGAAAAGGCGGCTATTGAACTTGTGTTTAATAATGCCATTGAGAGTCTTTCCGTTGACGATCGAAATCTTCCTCAGGTTCAAATTTTACTGCCCGTTTTACGTCGTGGAATAGGTATACATCATGGTGGACTGTTGCCTATACTCAAGGAAATTGTTGAAGTATTATTCGCTGAAGGTTTTATAAAAGTAAGTTTTTGTTTTTGTACTAAGTACGCGGTTCTTTCATTTTATCGTAATGTAAGGGTACTTGTGTTATATATTCATTATTGGCTAGTAAACCATCAACGAAAAATTGATGGTATACCATCTGATCCTTTTGTTTTCCCATTTTCGTTTTATCTGATGTCCTTGCTAATCACTTCTCATTGGTGGGGTATTATGTATAGGGAGGCTTATGTGTACTGCATGAATATCCAGAGAGTTCAGCTGTGTGGATTTTTAATTGCTTTACTCACTTGTTCCTCCACTCTTTAACCTTCGTTATTGGTTTGTTTTCTTTGTTCTTGATTGACTGCTACATCTCCTTGCTACCGTCAAAACTTTATAATTGCATACACATAGATCCACCAGTTTGTCGCCATTCTCACTCCTTTCTCCTAGTCCATGTTCCATAGTAATGCTTCATACCCGGTACTGTCCATCCCAACCTTAACATTCAGTTTCCACACCAGAATGATCAAGTATTTTACTGGAAATTTCTTTACAATGGACTGCAGTCTCTTATAAAATTGATATTTACCATCTCTGCCATAATTAGTGGGTGCGTATCACTGAATAACATTTATTATATTTTTCTCCTTTGTTCTGAAGGATAATTTGATTATTTTAAAGCCGTCGATTTCTCATCCTAGAAGCACATTTTTGGAAAGCATCAGGACAACCCCATCGTATGTGTGACACGTTCCTCTTCGTGATCAGAACATAACAGGACCTTTCCTAAATTTGATCCTTTTTGTCCACATTGTGTTCGATGCGTCTCACTTATTTCTATCATAGCCAGATTTTATCTTCTCATTTCCACTGTTATTTAAATGCTTTGAACGGTTTCCGACATTGTCTAGACAGTCTGTCTCTATCATAGTTGTTACTCTGATTTTCAGAATGGGTATTGGCTTCGTGACGCCCGAAAAAAAATAAGACGTCAAAACTATTCTACATAAAAATCCTTCAACTCTCAGGGCAGAGTGTAAGTAGTTTTCTGGTTAGCGTTTTTATTTACGGCGTATGATTGCTGATGATCTTTATTCAGGCTGGGGACCGGCAGAAGTGGTAGACGAATATCAGGCAAATTTAAAGTTTGGAGTTAATAGCCCATAGTTACTAATTTTAAGTTTTTTGATGTACTATTCTGTTTCCGTTAAAAGTAAGTTCTGTCATATAATATAGGTACTGTACGCTACCGAAACGTTCGCTATGGGTCTTAATATGCCGGCTCGATCTGTGTTATTCACGTCTACTCGGAAGTTCGACGGACGCGACTTCCGTTTACTGTCATCTGGGGAATATATTCAAATGTCAGGACGCGCAGGTCGTCGAGGAAAAGATATACGTGGCACAGTTATAATGATGCTTGATGATCGTATTAGTGCAGATGAAGCCAGGAAACTCTTACTTGGTGAACCTGACCGACTGGATTCTTCATTCTATCTAACGAATAATATGATACTTAATTTACTTCGTGTTGAGGACATCAATCCAGAAATAATGCTCGCTAAAAATTTTCAGCAATTTCAATGCAGATCTGAATTGCCCTATCTTGAAAAACGTAGGTCTTGACAGTTTCTTTATTTCGTTAGTATAAATTTCCCGTTTTTTATTTTTTATTTTACTAATTCTTATGTTTAAACCATTCAGTTTACTGCTACAGATAGAAGATAAATAAACAGCTGTTTAAAACTATCCCGCATTTATCATTCTTGCTTCAATGCATTTTATTTAAATTGTATTAGACTACTAAAACAAATAGCACGTTTTTGCAAATATGACGGTAAAAGCCTTAAATCTATTTTAGAGAAACATGTATTTATTAACTATCTACAGAAAATAAAGTATATAACTAGTTAAAGGTAGTTACCAGTAATGTATCGCAGGCTAATTTGCTTACACATATATAAATGCTGCGTCAATAAAATTAAATTATTGATATAAGCAATACTAAATCACAGTGGTCAGGATGAGAGTCAGGCATTTGACCCAGAGGTCTAATCCACAAGTCAGTAGATCAATGTTAGAAGATGCAGTCCCATGGTAGCTGGTGACCAACATAGGTTCATACACCATTGCGTCCCAGCCCCGCTAACTAGAGAAAGAAGTCGAAGTTCGAATGGGGAAGTATATTTTGCAAAAAGCCAGAAGCACGAGGTATAACAACAGACAAAAGTCAAAACATATATATACAGCACAAAGCCGTCCTTGGAAAGCGTTATAAAATAGCATACTAAAACACAACTGACCAATAGCGTTCCTTCAAGTGAAATATCCGACATGAAGGTGAGGAAAGCGCTTTTGGCGCGAAAACAAGGTAATTCAAATTTCCAAAATAAAATTACAAAATTAGGACCTTTTCCAAGTGAGCTCTAGGGATCTAACTTCCCCAACACACCGGACACTCGCTTTTCGTCCCCTCAAATTTCGTAAAAACAGTGAGTATGACTTCCCTGACGCGTAGCCATATGGGATCATTTTGAGAAGGAAAGATGACTCTCCCCACCCTCGGCTGTGCGAGGGCATTTGAGGGCCGAATAAAGAATAACAAAGTACTTATTAATAGTAGACTACTTCGCTATTTTTTTTAAACATTTAATGAATGATTAACGTCTAATTTTAGTGGCTGTTGGATGGGATAGTAGAATTTTAGAACAAAGCTAGGAACGGTCGAACTAAGGTGTATTGTCAGTCTATGCAGCCCTTAACTTTTTACTTGAGTCCTGTTGGTAGGTGCAAACTACCTAGATAAGGTTTGTATAACTGTCGTAACCAATTGTTGAAGATTTTTAGTGAAATGGCACAGAATCTGTCAAAATGGGCTAGATTCTTTCACCGTTTGTCTTGCTTTGAACAGGAGTTTTGAAAATCTTCTTGTGCTTTCCTAATGCATCAGCTATAATGCTTATGACTACTCTTTATCATCACTAATTCTATCAATACCTGTGCTGCTTTGTTATCTATTTTTATAGTTCCATCTTGTGATGATGTGGTGTGGAAAAGTAGATCGACAGACGTTTTACAGGTTCTACATTGTTCACGAGTGATAATTACACTATACTCTTCTGTTAAGTCTAACCGTAGCAACGGTAAATGAATTATAGAAAGGTTGGTAGATTAAGTACTGCGTGATATGAGCTGATGACCGCTATGCGCTAATTTCATATATAAGGCTCTGTGAAACGAATGTCACTAAAGTTTACTCACCAGTCAACAAACTTTTATGAATAGTCTTTTTACTAATCTACTTTGTCGCTGTTTGATTGTGGATACTGTATTCAGCAGTTTTTTAACATCGTAGGTCCCTGTCTAACATACCACATGTCTTATTAGCACAATAGTCTGAGAATGTTAATTGTCAAAGGGATAAAGACAAACTAAATACGGGTTACATGACTGCAAAACTCTTTGTTCCTGACGGTGGAGGTTCTTTATTTAGTTCTCTCGTGCTTCGGTGATGTATTTTCATTTACTTGTTGGTATATCTCGACATTGACGGGTTTTCTGTTTAGAAATTGTCTCCACTAATTGCATACCTGCACTAAATATGGGAGTATTAAAGTTTACTTCAACGTCATTGTATGTGTACTTGTTGTTACTAATGATTTTTAGCTATTGCGCTTATTTAGCGAACGTAATACCAGTTATTGTTATGATGTGATAGGCTTTAATATTAACATTTAAGTGTTCGTTTCGATAATTCCCACAGTTTTGAATCAATTCACAGATTTCAGAAAAGACTTTCAAACTATTTCGTATGACAAACAGCTTCATAACAGTATGACTTTATGACATTAATTTCACATAAGATTTCTGTATAAGGGTTATTGTATTAACTAACTTAAGAGAATGATTAACAACGAATTCACTTTATTACATTTACGCGTCCTCAGAAAAGGTACGGCTGCTTTCAATGTAGCACTCATTTTACATCAAATCTCATTGCGTTTCTAGATAATTCGCTTTTTCCAAATATATAGTAGCAGTCCCAAAAATGTCTTGAGCCGTCCAAATAAAAATCGGTTGCGGCGAAAATTTACGCAATATTTTGAGTCGATGTGTATGATTATTCAAACTGACTTACCAAAATCACTTATGATTTAGCTTTGTCGTGATTCTTCGCTCTCTCATATCTTAGTTGTGTTTTTTCATACAAACAGTGATCATCGGTCGTGTTTGCATGTGTATTCAGGAAATCAGTTAGAGTGTAATACACTTATTATCTGTGTTAGATAAATAGCCATATGAAGGAGTAGAGTATATCTTCAGAAATTCAAGAAAATAGAATAGCAGATCAGTCGGTAAAACTGGTTTAAAATATCTCATATTTATTAAAATAGAATAACAAACTCTAACTACATTGAACTATTGAGTCAGTGTGAGTACTTTAACATGACATTACGCTTTTTATTTTATGTTGTTGTCTGAACAGTTAGTAATTTTTCTACTTCCGATTTCAACTCCTTATTTTCTTATTTATTGCCTCGTATATATTACCGAGTTAACTGTCATTACTCACCTAACTGAGATTTCTATTGTTTCAGTAAGATACATTGAGACCAGTGTTGAATCCTTTGAGTAAATTCATTATTACTGATACTAGCCCGAATTAATGCAATCCTAAGCAAGTTATTTATCATTGAATTAACATAATTCATGTGTAAAGTTCAGGATGATTTTGTCTTTTTCACATTTCTCCTGTTTGATATTCAGGTTTAAATGACACAGAATCTCTTATCAAAAATATTTGTTTTCCGGATGATATTGATATGGAACAGCTTGGCGCTTATGTTAAACTTCATCATGCAGTTGCCGTATGTGAATCTGAGAGGTGGGCATTAGTTTCACAAAGAAAAAGTGTCATACCTTTCTTTCAGGCTGGTAGAGTGGTTCGAGTATGTTTACGATTAAAGTGTTCTAACTTGATTTAAAAGTTCATTTCTTATTCTCTATCGATAAACAAAGTTAAACTATTTGTATTTTGGTTAGATTCGCAATCTGGACGATTGGGACTTCGGATGGGGAATTGTTGTGCACGTAGATCAGTCTGTGCATCAAAAATCCGACAGAATGTCAGTCATTTGTCTTATGGAAGTGGCTGAAGACCGCATCCTAAGAAATTCAGATTATACAAGAAAACCGATTCCTTTTTCGTTTGTGAAACCTGCTGATGGTGTTGATTTTCAAACTGATACTTTTACATCGGTTATTCAGTTAGTTTCTGTTCCTCTAGATTGTTTGTCTGGTATTTCAAGCGTTTGTCTCAAACTAAATTCATTATTGGAGTGTGACAATCAGAATACTGAAATGTTATTTAACAAGCTTTCAGTTCAACCTGATCATGTAAAACGACGTATTTGGGAAGGTGTTGATCGTGCCAAAGCAAAATTAGGAGGAGTACTACCAGTATTAGATCCTATCAAGGATTTAAATATTAAAGACAATCGTGTGAAACAACAGTGCGAGGTTAGTTTGAACATCAATTCAAACTTTTGGTTGTAATACTAAGGTATTCATTATAATTTGCATAATTTCATTCGAAACAGTTTATAACGCACGATGTATCATAAGTGAGTTATAAAAATAGATTATTGTTTAAGTTAACGAAGAGTATTTTCGTGATGTATGTGTTGTTTATGCTTGCAGTTGTATTATAGTTCTATGGGTTATGCGTTCTCACTAATGTCATTAAGCACATTATAATTTCAGTTCATTTAACGCATTGTAATAATTTATTTCGAATATACGATAGCAGAGTAGATTGTCACCCTCTAGTTGCCAGACGAATATCTTCCTTGCGCCAAAGGGATACAAGTTGGCAAAAGTCAATAAAGGCGAGTAAAAAAGGTGCACATCAATAAGTCTAAACATTAATTAGGGTGACCACCAAAAGAGGTAACAAAATCTTTATGGATGTGAAATTTGTTCGATTTACCCTGTCCTTTTGCCTCTATGATCAATCAAAAACGTAGTTTTCTAATCGTCCAATAAAGTTCACTTTAAACAAATATTTTAATTTTTTGAATTTAGTAAAAATTTATTATATTTATCACTCCAGTGAAGTTATCTCATTCATCTGCTTTGAGCAGAGGCCGAGAACCGTAGTTTAAATCCATTATTGACTCCTGTCTTTACGTTGATAAGCGATTTTTCTCTACTTCTCCTTTTGCACTCCCCGACCTTTATTGAAGCGATAGTGATTTGTATTCTTCAATCTTAACAACAGATTCTAACTATAAACATTTAGAAAAGTAGTAGTGGTTCAGGTGTTATCAAAACGTGTTCAGTATGTCTAAGGGTACACTTTTATCCAAACATCTAAAGTTATAGCACTCTGACAAATCAGTTATCTCTAGCTACAACCGCGACCGGTTACTAGGACTCATTCTTATTAAAAAGAAAATCTCTGCACATATTATTAACTTTAATATCCATCTTAAAATAATGACAGCCGAATACGTCATTTTGAGATGTTAAAAATGGTTCATAATTGATGGTGGTGTTGTGAATACTGAATTTATACCATAGTTGTTTTAATGTTGTTCAGGCTAAACAATCTTTACAGACACTTAGTGGCGAAAATTCTAATGACAGCCCACCATAAGCTCCAGCTAGAATAATAACCTTTGAAAAGAAATTCTGTATGAGGTTGGTATACTGTAGTATATTTCCTGCTACAGTTACTTCTGAGTGTTTGGCTTATTGAAAGAGATCAGAAAGCTTTCTGTGAAACTCATTTTCCTTTTAGCGACAGTCAGTGGGATAGTAGGCAGAGATAACAGCGTGTATCCTTACCCTTCCTTGTTCTTACTGTCCCGTTTAGTCATACTGTTCATAAGCGACTGTCTATCGGAATCTAGACCAAGAGGACCTATTCCGCTTTGGAACCCTATGATATACACCAAACGCTAGCAATGTCACGAGAAGTGCCGGTTGAGTCTCTAGACACACGAATAGTAGATCGTGGCCTTTCTTCATTCTGACTAGGTGGGGTCAAGTGAATGACTACCCTTGAATCCTGTATGTGGGTTTCAAAGAGCGTGATATTCTGTAGTTGTAGCTAATGAAATCTGTTTTGACGTAAGGTTGTAACGTTGAAAGCCCCAACATGCGGTTTTAAGAGGCCAGGAATAACATTTCGTGAACTCGAATCGTTAGAATTAGTGGTGGGTGTGGATAAAATCATAAGAGAATAGGTGGAATAAATATTAAGTAGTGACAAAGGGATTCGAAAATGAACAAGAGAATCTTGAGGGTTGTTCGAGATGTGTGGACAGTTGTCATTTCGCTCTTCTAAAGGCTTCACTGATGGGGATGAAAATCTATGAGATAAGAAAAGGTGTGATGTTTTTAGAGTCAATTCATTCTAACTACTTCCGTTGTTTGGATGCAGCATCACTGCAAACACTAACTGTATGAGTGGAAAACCCATTATAACCCAGTACAGTCATAAGTACTACTTCGTTCTCGAACTCTGAATTCCTGTTTTAGTCTTAACATTTTGCAACCGACTTGCCTGAAATGGTAAAATCAATTGTTTCAGCCTATGTACCTCGACGGGGTCGTCATGTAGGTACGCCTTGGCTACGATATCAGTGTAACAGCTATGGGCTTATTTTAAGATCAAGATGTACAACTGTAATTGGACTTTAGTAAGTATGCTTGTGTTCTGAAAGCTGGCGATGAGCAAATATTTGATCTGAATATTCAAATTCAGGTCTAAAAGCAGCCTAGTTTTCCTGATTTGCTCTTCACGAGCTCTGATGAAGTGTCGGATGATTTTAGTGATTAGTAATTTAAATACGTAGTGAACCTGTTTCTTGGTTTATTACATGACGATTATAAACCGGAACGGCCAACCCTCAGGTTTAATCAGAAGGAGTTACTGAGAGCCCAGAAACTCTTAATAGTAATTGTCAGCTTAGCTGCCTAAACTAGACCTCTATCCTTAAAGATCTCAGGGGTTAATACATCAGGGCCTCCTACTTACGCTCACTTTATATTAACTTTAGTCTCTTAAACTCCTAAGAGTTTAGGGACTTGGAGATATTCGCTTTTGATGTTTTTGTGAGATATTGGGTAGCTGGAATATAAGTGCTGGCAAGTCGAAACGTCCTTTGAAATATTCTGCCCATGAGTATAATCTCCTAGAGTGATAGTGAATAAAGGTTCCATTTTTCTCCGACATAGTCTCACTGACAACTATCTTTAAATTAACGAGTCAGAAAAGTTGTCTAATATCATCTTTCTTAAGCAGTGCATGTTTTTCGCTGAAAATGTTGGGTTGGACCAGTACAATATTTCCGCAATTATAGCAAATTTCGCAGATGTCGATATGTATATGCTTTAGTCTTGAACTGTATTCCATATTTATCAAGTGCAGAGACAGCTGTACGAGGCAGCATTAATTAGCAGTCGGTAAAAACAATATATTCACCCATAGTATTTTCTATTATTATCAGTTCATACAATATTAGCTTCAATCAACTGACTAGTTAAATTATTTCTCAACTCAAGAAATATTTTGCAGTGAAAATCATCGAAAAATTTCTCGTCATTTTAGTTTTAGACACAATGTAGTAAATCATAGTTTGGTGTTAACTTGCTTTAAGACTTAGTCTATTCTGTTAACCACTTATGTTGCTCAGAAAGACTATCTTATTGTTAGATTAGTTTATATATATTGCCATGATTAAGTTTTTTTCAACACTTAATGATATTTACACATTTAGAAACATTTAAGGTATTAAATGCCATCTGGTTGATATTACATAAAAGAGTTCAAAAGACTTAAATGTTATGTAAAGAAAATCTTCAGCGCATGATTTGCTTGGTGCAATATAACTTCAAGCATGTACTTAGATAATTATTTACTCAGATAAAGAAATTTTTTTTATTATAGACAATTAATTTATTGAAAGCACGAATGACCATGAATCCGATTTCAAAACGTGCTGATCTAGACAGTCTTATTGATCGTTTCAATTGGAAAGCTACTGTAAGTGTTTCAAATATTTTTCGTTTTTTATTTTATTCTAAAAATTAGGATAAATATTCTCCACACTGCAGTCATGGTCGTGATTAATTTTCAAGGATGCAATATAGGTTTGTAGCGTCGTGTTTTATTTCCTTGGATGATTTGGTGTATCATAATTAGTGTTTTCGCTTAGTTGAACGTCTACTGTGTTTTGCTGGTATCATTTAAATCCAAAAATCTAACGTTATCATATTTCCATCATTTGATTAGCAGACAATTATCAAAATAAGAAACTATCTTTTCTTCATAGTTGACCTCTGCTAATTAGTGCCTTGATGAGAACATAGATACTGCTAAGAAAGACTCAAGTTAATATGAAACAAAATCTTTCGTATCCAAATGTTATTTATTACCTTGTTATTTTTTAACAATTGTTTACAGTAGATATACTTTTTTTTGTGTGAGATCTGAAATTTGTAAAACTATTCAGCAATAATGGATTGTACGAAATTTTTATTGTCGAACTTTTAATACAAGCTTATTTATCAGTTTCTCTTAGCTTGTTGACTTATTCTCAAAATGCCTTCAATGCTATTTAGTTAGTAGTAGGATGTAATAATCATCTCTGCACACAACATCATCTGTGTGTTTCATATAATGTTTTAAGAATTGTCTAGCGTTTGATTCTGTAATAATGTAATACATTTTCATTTTACTCTGCATTTCTTCACTTTAAGGAATATTTTAAACACTTTAAAATCAAATATTAAAGTATCCATATATTACATCCCTTGTGCATTTATTTTAATTACAGAATTTGAGGAAACTCGAAGACATTCGTGAACGTATAAACAGAACAGATTCACTTTCACATTTTGACGAGTTGCGTGCAAGGAAAAGACTTTTGCGAAGACTTTGTTTTTGTTCAGAGGATGATACAATTGCATTAAAAGGTCGTATCGCCTGTGAAATTTCAACTGGTGATGAACTGGTACTGACTGAGTTACTGCTGGATGGGTTCTTTTCACAATTCTCACCAGTTCAACTAGCAGGTGTCATGTCATGTTTTGTAGCAGAAAAACAAACAAAACATCACAAGATAAATCTGAGTCCTGCCATGAAGAAGGCTATAAAAAGTATCCACGTACGTTTTTCATTGCTATTATTGATAAACTCATCAATATTCAACAATTGAAACTTAGCAGACGTAAATTTTAGTACAAAGGGGCAACGATTACCTGTGCACCACACAAGTCACTTGATTTGTGTGTGAGCTGGGATGCTGACCGGATGCAGATGGCTTTCTTAAAAGGCCACACCCCAGAGCCTTTGACATAAAAGTCTGGTCAACAAGACAGTGGAGCAACTTTAGGAGATACAATCCCATGGTATCCAGTGATCAACAATAGATCCATACGCCTTTTTTTCCTTCAGGATACTGGAGCCCATGTGCGCCACTAGTTTGGAATCAGGGTTTTCCAAATCCCCTAGGTGAACTATCCATGTCCAACGGCCCGGTTAAAGTGCCGGACATTCGCTTTTCGTCCTTTCAATTTCGTAAACAACACCCTCGCCGCGAGAAAGCAATGAGTAGGACTTTCCTGGCAGTAATGGATGTGTCCTCTAACAATCATATACCCTAAATATATTTTGCACTGCTGCGAAACATGGCCATTAAGAATAGAAGACACTCGTAAGCTACTAGTATTTGACCACAGATGCCTTAGAAATATTGCTGGCGTCTGCTGGGACCACCGGGTAAGTAATAGTGAGGTTAGATGCAGGGTATTAGGGAGTGATGGTAAATCAGTTGATCAGGTAGTGAATCTTCACCGACTGAGATGGTTGGGCCACGTGTTACGCATGCCCGAACACCGATTACCACAACGTGCAATTCTAACCGGTGTTCGGGACGGTTGGAAGAAAGTTAGGGGCGGCCAAACCAAAACGTGGTACCAGTCATTGAAATCACTAAATTCTAGTCTGAGCCATATTGGGAGATGCAGACTACTTGGTTGGGGTCCGCGTGACTATCGTAACCAATGGTTGGAGACTTTTGGTGACATGGCTCAGAATCTATCACAATGGCGTCGGTGTATACACTCTCTGTCTTCCCTTAAAATAAGAGATTAAAATCGCTTCATATCTTTCTTTCTACGAACTAATTCTTTCTTCCTGTACTATATCCTTATATGCAATCTTTCTCTTATATACTACCACCTTTGAATTAACTACTTTTATGAATCCGGTGTTCATCATGTTGTATTGATGAAGTATGGCAACTTGTACCGATGCATATATGTGCCTGCTCCTACGTTGTAGCTGACTGGATGACTATATTTTGTAAGCCAAATTAGATGGAGTAAAAAGACATGTGTAGAAAATGTTTTCAGGTATCAAATAAATTATTGCTACTGAAATTTCAGGAATTGCTTTTCCATCCGTATTCACCATAAAACCGTTTTTATTACCTATACACAAAGTCGACCAATGCAGTGTAGCTTGCGAGAAATATGACTTACACTTTAGGAGGTTCGAGGCTGCTTCGTTGTGCACATCCTAGAAAGGTGCTGTAACAATAAAAACTAAATTAGGAATTTCCGGGGCCACAACTAATATGATTTGATAACTCGAAGTGATGTTAGTCCTCGGAGATTTGGTGAATTTCTGTCATGTCATTAGGTATTAACGAACATTGTTATTTATGGAAGTTTTACTTTTGATGGCTTCGGCTTCCCTACTGTTTGTCACCTTTCCCACTTCAAATTTTGTCAGTACTTTTAGTAACATAATCTTGCATATTATGAATCTTTAAAGGATAAAGCAAGATATCTTGCAAAAATGTCTGCCGAATGTAATATCAACACGGATCATAGTAATAATGAGAAACAACCAACGACTTTGGTTGAGAATCTCAGAAATAATACAAATAATCTTTCGGATGACGAGCAAGCTTATGTTAATCGTTTTGTCGGTGATTTAATGGATGTTGTATGTGCTTGGGCTGAAGGTGTCAGTTTTTCTCGACTTTGTGAATTGACAAGTGCATTCGAAGGTAGTGTAATTAGATGCATCAGAAGACTGGAAGAACTACTATGTCAAATGCATAATGCAGCCAAAGTTGCAGGAAATTCGGAGTTGGAAAATAAGTTTTTAGAAGGTATGTTTTTCCCTTCTTTTGTGATGCACGTTTGATAGTACATGTTTTACAATTTAAAATCCAAGTAAAATGCTGGAGTTAACTATAATAACATTTAAGCTACAATGATCGTAAATTATACTTATCTAAGCTGGTCATACTATTTATTTTACTATATATATATATATATATATAATTTTACTAATTTTTCATTTCGTCAAGCAGTCAATATTTTAGAAAACAACATAACATAAAATCATTTCCAATATGTGTTAGTTTCATAGGCGAATCATTCATCTTCATACAATATCACTGGTCGTTTTTAAAGTGGATGTAGTCTATTTATAAATCCATCATGAACAAAGTTATACAAACAGTGCTTATAACGGTGAAAATATTTAACGTAAAATATTGTGAACCGCTTTTAATTTGTTAAGATGTACAGTATTGCTGGACATGTTTGTGTTTTTCTTCCTATATATATATATATATACTTTTTTTCTTCCAGCCGTGATCCTAATCAAAAGAGATATCATCTTCTGTGCAAGCCTATATCTTTAACAGTTATCGAAAAAAGTGTACAAATCTTGATAATAAAAAAAGATTCAGTATTTTTGATGACTTTGGTCTTCTATACCTTATTGGATTGGTAATGAGTTTCATCGTAAAAATAAATCCAACATCTTATTCCAGAGGCATATTGTATATTTGCCAGGATCAAATAACACCAATGAAGAAAAATATTCTCGTCATGCATTAATTTTCAAAATTAATCGTCCTATTATATTTTTGATAATCTCCTCTTAAAACAAAATGATAGACAGTCATAGGTAACAAATTGGGAAGAAACACTAGAAGTGGACCACTTATTTTTAAAAGCTCATATTATGTGCTGTTTTCGAAAATTAAGTTGACAAATCTATTTGAAATTAGTATGGTGAGTCAATGAAACCGTGTGGGTAAGAGAGAGCTATGGCAGACAATAAATTATTTAGTTGAAATCATGAACCAATCTAAGTTAGACTATCATTGAAAACCTGGAAGCACCGGACGGTCTCACTAAGGTCAGTTCATGATTTCAGTTAAACTCAACAATCTCCACAACCCTATATTGAACAGAATCAATATTGAAGTTGATGCTCAGAATGTATGGAAAAAATGTAAACGCCATTTATCTAACTTTAATATCCTTACATTGGTTTCTTGTTCGACCTAATCAAACCGATTCAATACCAAATTTTTGAAACGTTATTCGGCACATAATTCCTAGCAGATGACTGTCACATTTTGCACTGATACAAATCAGCCCCTCGATAATATATTTTGATTTTAGTAGAAACTAGAGGTGGAAATTACTAACTAATGAAACAAAGATGTATGATATCAGCTGTGAGCTTGCTAAGCAGATATGCTTAATTTGAAACCTTAATTGATGTAAACGATAGTCCTCATCCGCCTCTGACAAAATGATTAGATTTACCAATATTTTGATAATTAAGTTATTAAATTGCAAGAGACTGATGTATATTCAGTATATTCGATTGTAGAACTGATCAAGATAACAAAAGATTAACGACTTTTCCGAGCTCAGATTGTTTGTTCAGGCGAGTGCTAGAAGATTTTTAATGTAACTTTCAAGACGAGACGATAAATAACATTAACAAACTCATTGTCGTAACTACGCCTTGTTAAGGGTAGGTAATTAGTCGTCATTTGTGACGTTTCGTTCTTAATTATTCATTTATTAACTAGATGTTATTAGTTTAACTTTTTTGCCCGATTCGCGGGAATTTAGAGGTGCTGACTTCCACAAAACTAGCAGTAGGCAGTATAAAATAAACTTTATTGCCAAGATTAATTTGTCTACAAAAAATATATTTTGAGAAATGATCTCTGAGTACCAGAGACTCGCAGAAAGAAATCATGTTATTAAATCAATTCGATGCAGTAGCGGTCGAACTGAGTAGTAACAGTTAGTTGTCTTCTAAATCCGTAATGATTCTTTAGGATCAATTTCTCATTACCATCCATCAATGTCAGTGATATTTTAAACTATTTCTGAGCTAGATTTTAACGTCGAATCACTTGATTTACCAACCAGGATCAGCAGTGGAAAGTATAAAAGATGTTTATAAATCAGTACATTTTCTTATTTTACGATGACCGCAGTTAGAATAGTGTATCATCGTGTTCCATTTGTAAAGCGTGGTATGGGGATATGTTATATATTAAGATAACACTTAAAACTCATATAAATCCGAAAATCTGCTTGAATTTTTCTCTGTCTAATATTTCCGATCTCACTGTAGTTAGAAGAAAAGTTCGTCCAATACCCAAAGGTTTTGTAGAATTTGAATTTGCATTAATTATCCCAATACGAACGTAACTTTTCCCCCCCGGTATTTCGTTAAAATCTGATGGTGGGACTATTTGACCTGAATTCAAAATTGTATTTTGACGTCTTCCCCAAAATGTTAAATGTCCGATGCGTACTAGACCAGACTCTCTGTTAATACTAACCTGAAATACAAACGGCCAAAAAGCTATTTCAGGGTATCTAAAAGTTATAATGATCACTCAAATTTTTAATAACGGACCGTATAGACCTACTGACAACTATTACAAAGAACCAGTAACGCATGTATTTCTTGTAAACTAAATTTTCATCATATTGATTTATGAAGATCAGATGCTCACTATAATGAAAAACCTGACGTAACGAAACAAAGCATCATAAATCTCCAGCCGAAAACCGATTTCTGATTACGCATAACACGAAAAGTATGCTGTAGAAATTCGTCGTAAATCCCTCTCACTTGAAGATAAATAATATGTTAACTGACGGTCACTAGAAACTTGGATGTGATGAATCTGGGATTGTTCTTATCAAGTAACCGCTATAGGAAACAATAAGAATTGTCAGTATAGTATGACTTAACTCGAAGAACTAAAAAGATTTTTTACCAGAGGAATCTTATATATAATATAAAATATGATTAACTTACGACTCCCACAATTTTTATGCTGAGCCAACTGAAAATAATCAGACTGCACAGGGAAAACGCGGCACAACCCAGAAATGTATAAACTAATGAGGAAGAAGCTTGATCATGTAGGTATTTGTATATAGCTACTGGACAGCCAGAAATTAATGAGCCAGTTAATATAATTTTAAGTTGTGAGATCGCCTAGAAAGGTAATTGTAAGTTAAATTATTAATACATCGTCTGGTTACCAACAATTTAAATACTACTAATTTCTCATGAAAATAATTGAAACATGTGCGTTTCTTGAATGTCTACTGGCAGGTTTTAAGACAAGGAATAAGTTCCAGTTTGCAAACACTGGCCAATACTTGTTATTGTAGCAATTGTGAGTGTCTTAAACGACATTTATTATGTTCCGTAATAATACCGCAACTGATATGGATTACATTGTAAAAATGTTGAGTAGAGGTGGTGTGTTGGGCTATTTCATAGTCATAATGACCATTGAGTCTACAGTGTAAAAGAAAGTTTGGACATATATCAAGCTTTTTTTGTAATGGAATAACATCTAGTAGTGGACAAATTTTTCAAAAACCTTAGATCAAATTCAATGGACTAATCCATACATTTTCAGTATGCTCACTTAACTGTTCCCACACCATCAATTATCGACGGATTCCTGTCTTAAGAAATCCTGCGACTATTGAAAAACGGCGAGGGTTTAAAAATATCCATGATTTTGCTTACGGCAGAACCACAGTAAAACACTTTGACACAAACATGAACCACCTAAAATCTATCAGCACAATGGACCTCAAATATGCTTCGGATGAAACATGTAAGCAGGTCTGATTACTTGTTGCCAATCCTTGAGGAACTGGTTAACTGTGTTGGACTACATGTTTAATATATATTTCGTGTTAGTGACTTACTAATGTTTAGAAGACAAATAATTGGAAACAGACCTGGAGAAAAATTATGGGACGGAAACGATATATGGGTACCCAAGATTCATTTTTATCACCAAATAATTCTGTTTTGTGTCCCGAATGTAACAAACCAGTTTGCAAGCTTGAATATTTTGGAAGTCTTAGGGAGAATAATGATGATTGCGTAAGTAGATAGGAATACGAATAGGATTTGTGAAGTCCGCCAAACATCGGTATTTTCATTCTGAATAAACTAAATACAAAGCACAGGTTCATTGCAAAAGATATTTCTTATTTAAAAATGTGTTGTATGTAGTCTAATTAAAGATAAGAAAAGGTCTAATTAAACTATCAAAAGCAAAAGGTGCCCGTAGTTTTGATATCTCACACCAGAAATATAGTGCAATAAATGCGCATACCTGGTCAATTAATTTGCTGGTCATCTTGTTTGTTACAAACGGAATGCGGCTATTTAACGTGAATTCAAAACTAACAGTAAGTTGAATGATTATTATTTGAATAATTTATGGATAGAGATATTTTTAACAAATACAGATAAACCCATTGTAAAGGTGGTAACAAAAGGGGAAGAACGAGTTTTTATCTAACGGGTCTCATTACTTTATACACGTATTTCCATGTTACGGTAAATTTTCAACCGTTAAATGAATGGAGTTTTTTCATACTAGAAGAGAACATGTAGGTATCTTTTATCAGCAGCAATGAAATGACACTCAAGTCCGGATGAATTTAAGCTATCAAAATGAAAAACATAGAGGTCCTATCAGACAAAGTGTAATATCATACAAGTTTTCTCAAGAGATCCTATCCAATTCCGATTTGACAACTAATACTATAGACAACTAGATGGGGTCACCATTGGGCCCTACATTGGCGGATAATATCCTTGCAAAACTGGAGAGTGGATCACTTAAAAACACAATTAGCCATTTAACATCTTATTATCGCTATGTGAATGATACTTTCGTAGTATTAGAAAAACAACAGGAAAAGGACAGTTTACTTATTATATTTAATAACGTTCATTCATTTATTAATTTTCCACTAGAAGAAGAACAGAACCATAGCATAACGTTTCGAGATGTCCAAATAACTAGACGAGCAAATGGAACTTTAAAAAGAGGGTTACACAGAAAGTCTGCAGCAGGACAATACAGTTATTTCTATAGTGCAGTGCCTATTAGATACAAAAAAAACTTGATAAAGATCCTGACTCATCGTGCTGGAATGATTTGTTCGAATGATACTTATTGTACATGAATTGGTAAATATTCGTAACTTACTAATTAGGAATGAGTACCCAATAAAACCCATCGAAAGCACATGAAAGAGATGAAAAGAAGGACAAAGATTCCTACCGTTCCCAAGGAAGTATTGTACTTAAAATTACAATTCCCAAGTGATACTACTGAAGAAATTGTGACTCATAGTGTAGTGAACAAGAACACGGTGAGGACAACCAAATTGTATTTAGCACAAATTACAGTTACTCGGCAAAATAGAAAACCATATCGTCAATCGTTAATTTGCAAAATATCATTCCATCATATCAAACCTGACTGTTGCTGTTGCAAACACCAATCCATTGTCTCACATTTCATTGTTCATGCGTTTTTTTACAAATTCCATTGTGTTCTCGCTCTTCCTTTCTGGATCTTCCCCATGTTCTGCTGCCAGACATTTCGTTCTTTTAACTCACGTTATATACTACTTATATCAATATAAGTAGCACGCACCACACTCGTCCCCCCTTTTAATAAGTTGCTGTCGCAGTCTTTCTGATCTCCGTACCGCTGTCTTCTTTGGTGCTTTTCGTGACTCACGACCATGCTGATATTGTAACCATCTCTGCTGTTGACTAGCGTTTACTCGCTTCTGCTTGTCTTCTCTCCGGATCGTGTAGACTGAGCCGCGTCTCTCCGTGATAACATACGGTCCTTCCCACTTTGAGATCAGCTTTCCCGACCCTGCTATGTTACTTTTTCGTTCTCTACACTTTACTAGGTCCCCCACTGCAAAGGCTTTCCACGTTCTCCTCTGTTGTTCCGCCTTCTTTATGTCTGATATCTGCTTCTTTTCCACGTTCCTTATTGCTTCCCTCCTCTCTTTTCTTAACCTTGTTGTCGTCCATTTCTGTTGTTGTGGCCAGGTTTTATTATGCATTGGAAGTCGTGGCTGTCTGCCATACATGAGTAAGAAAGGTGACTTCTTGGTTGTTCCTTGTGTAGAGGAACGATGTGCCAGCAAAATCAATGGTAACTCTTTCTCCCAATTTCCTCCTTTAGATGCTAACCATTCCTTTAACGTCCAGGTGTTTCTCTCTGTAAGCCCGTTTGCCTGAGGATGATACGGTGTAGTTCGTATTCGCTTGATGCCAAACTGCTTTAAACGGGCTTTAAACTCGTTACTTTCAAAACAGGGACCCTGGTCAGTTAATATCATATTCGGTATTCCGTGACATGCTACAATATGCCGGATTACCACTTCGGTCACTGTCCTTGCCCGCTGGTCTGCAATGGGTACGGCATCTACCCAACGTGTAGCATGTTCTGTCATCACCAGCAGGTACTGGTTACCGCTCGCCGTCTGTGGAAACAGTCCCATCACATTCACCGACCATAGATCACCGACTGCGGTTACTGGGATTGACTGCAATGGCGGTTGTGTGTATCGATCGCTTTGCATTAGCTGACACTGCTGGCAAGTTAATACGTATTCAGCCACATCGTCTTTCATGCCCGGCCAGTATGCACTCTGTCGTAGTATATCCGTCGTTCTTGCGATAAATGGTGACACTCGTGTATCACTTTACGCCGCCAGCCTTTCGGGATCACTGCCACCCAATTCTCGTCATCGTCCTGCCAGGTCAGGACCCCATATGAGTTCACTTTCAGTCGTTCCTTTTGTCGAGGCAGCGTTATTACCTCCTTGTCCATTGTTCGTTTGTCTACGTCTGCTCCCTCTTTTATCACTCTGATTACCTCTCGAAGGTTAGGGTCAGCTTCCTGCTGCCGGACGAGTTCTAATGGGTCTCCCCCTAAACTGTTCGCGTATGCTGTTAATGGCAGGTCGGCTTCCATGTCTGGTCTCGACAAGTAATCCGCCATTACGTTTTCTTTTCCTGGAACATGGCCGATACTGAAGTCGTATTCTTGCAGACGTATCATCCATCGCACCAACTTCCCTCGGGGGTCTCTTGCTGTTTTCAACCACTGCGGGGGTTTATGGTCGGTTTCAATGTGAAATCGTCTACCTAAAAGGTACGGTCTCCATTTTTCTACTGCCCACACGATTGCTAAACACTCCTTTTCGATGGTTGATGACTTGTGTTCAGCGAGTGTGAGGACGCGACTCGCGTATTCCACCACTCTATCAGCCTGACTCAACACAACACCTATACTATGATCACTCGCGTCTGTGGCCACTGTGAACAGTTTTCCCGGTTCAGGCAGTCTGAGCGTCATCTGACGATCGTCTAGCATGTTTTTGATTCGGTTGATGTTTGTTCGGCAGTCTCAGTCCACGTAAACTTGGTGTTGCTCAATAACTTATATAAGGGTGCTGTTATTTCGTTGAAATTCTTGACAAACCGACTGTAGAACGCCGCTCTTCACAGGAACTGTTTCAATTTCCTTTTCGAATTAAGTACTGCAAAAATTTTTATGGTAAAAATTTTTCTCCGGTATGGTTTTATTTCTCCATTTCCCACTTTATGTTCCAACAACGTGACGCTACTTCTCGCTATCTGCGACTTGTCCTTATTAATCCGAAGTTCGAATTCGATTTAAGACCGCTTCCACATGCTTGACGTGATCTGTTTCTGTCTGACTGTACACAACCACATCATCGCCATATACCTCGACATTATCTAGATTCTTGAGCAGTAGTGTCATTAGTCTTCTGAATGTGAACGGCGCACCTGCCAACCCGAACGGCATTCGTTTAAATTGATACTGTTTATCACGTACCGTAAACGCTGTCTTGCTTCGATCGCTCTATAGTGTGGACAGCTAATGTACACGCCTTGAGTCTCCTACATTGATCTTTGCCTATTAACGAGACTGCTGCACCTGTATCGATCAGACAAACTAAATCTCGTTCATTCATGTTCACTGCCCTTCTGTCTACTAACGCAACAACCCTCAGATTCCTAGGATAGAAAGAACACTCGTTATAACGTTTAAAATATCTGCGTCTTCGTCTTGTTGGACAGTTTATCTTCCAATGTCCTGTTCCTCCACAAGCGTAACATTTATCGTTTTTTTTATGGTTAACTCGTATTGCTGCAATCTCACGCTCCAGCTCCTCAATCTACTTCTCTACATAACTTATCCCCTGCTTTCCCCACCCGACCGGAGCTACTGTTCGCGTCATCAGCTGACGAGTCACCTTCGCCAGTTCACTGATTTCCATCGGTTGCGCTGCGTTCACCAGTTTCAACTGTTGGGAGATGGTGGCAGGCACACTCTCGATAAATTGTGACGCTAACAACTGTGCCTCCGACTCGTCATCCAGATTCGGCAGCGCACGGTGTAACAATCTGGTAAGCTCCACCGCCAGCACCAGTGGGTCACCATCAACCGGCGACCTCGCCAACCGGAACTTCTGCAGCCCCTCTTCTCTGTCCACTGGGCTGTCGAACTCCGCTGCGAAACGCTCCGTAACTGTCTACCATATCGTCTTCCCACTAGCACCGTCCAAGCTGTCACATACAGCCTTCGCCCTGCCTCTCAGCAGCGTCCCCAGCACCACCAACTTCGCCTTCGGCTCCTTCACTCCCAGCAGCTCCGCCACGGCCTCAAACTCCTTCAGGAAGCTCAGCACATCTCCGTCCTCAAATTCCTTCGGCAATGGAATCTTCATCCTTAGTGGAGGCAGCGACACCAAGTGTAGTGAACAAGAACACGGTGAGGACAACCAAATTGTATTTAGCACAAATTACAGAGTTACTCGGCAAAATAGAAAAACCATATCGTCAATCGTTAATTTGCAAAATATCATTCCATCATATCAAACCTGACTGTTGCTGTTGCAAACACCAATCCATTGTCTCACATTTCATTGTTCATGCGTTTTTTTTACAAATTCCATTGTGTTCTCGCTCTTCCTTTCTGGATCTTCCCCATGTTCTGCTGCCAGACATTTCGTTCTTTTAACTCACGTTATATACTACTTATATCAATATAAGTAGCACGCACCACAATAGATTGAGAAAAGCGGTGCAAGAAACATTTAATGCAGCCAGACTGAGTGCTATCTTCTACAACCACCCCACAATAAGAACAGCCAATAAAGACAGATTGCCTGAAGTCGCCAAATCTATGTGTACTTATCGATTTAACTGGTCCTGTGGAGCCAGTTATATGGGGCGTACAATTCGGCAAGTTCATCATCGTATAACAGAGCACCATCCATCGTGGTTGAGCAAAAGACTAGTAAGAGTGATTAGGAGTTCTATTCTCGCTCACTCGGTTAACACAGGTCATCACGTTGAACTGAATAAAGCTTTTAAGGTTATCTACCATATTCCATCGAATATGCCACATGGTTTACGAGTGCGTCTTTTGCACATTGCTGAAGCCATTGGAATCCATGTTCATAAACCTAACCTTTGCATTCTTGCATAACTACTACTCTACTGACCA